AAGTCCAGGCAGCGATGTGCAAAGGGAGCACTCCCTCCCTAAGCTCAGGCAGTGATGTGCAAAGGGAGCACTCCCTCCCTAAGTCCAGGCAGTGACGTGCAAAGGGAGGACTCCCTCCCTAAGTCCAGGCAGTGACGTGCAAAGGGAGCACTCCCTCCCTAAGTCCAGGCAGCGATGTGCAAAGGGAGGACTCCCTCCCTGAGTCCAGGCAGCGACGGTGCAGAGGGAGCACTCCCCCCTAAGTCCAGGCAGTGATGTGCAAAGGGAGCACTCCCTCCCTAAGTCCAGGCAGTGATGTGCAAAGGGAGGACTCCCTCCCTAACTCAGGCAGCGACGTGCAAAGGGAGCACTCCCTCCCTAAGCTCAGGCAGAGACTGTGCAAAGGGAGCACTCCCTCCCTAAGCTCAGGCAGTGATGTGCAAACAGCAGCAGCCCTTTCAGACGATGTCAGGTGGCCCAAGGGTTGACTAAGCTAGAGTGTTCCGAGTGTCCCCACCACTTTGTCATCATCTGAGCGGGTCATCCAGGTTGTCCCAAGACCCCACTCCATTAACACCAGTAAACTTGAGCATTTGTTCAAGTTCAAAACACAAAGGTTTTTAGTAGATTGTATCATATACTATTCTATCCTCATCACATATAGTCAAGGATATATTATATAGTTGTATGCTTATTACATATTATAGACTAGATACATTAGGTATGTATTACAGATTAAACATATAAAGTTCTGGGAGGAACGGCTGCCAGCTTTGGTTTGGACTGGGCTGTTGTTTTGTTGTCAACAAATCAACACCTTACTACAGTTTCCTCACCATATATACACTCTCACTATATATACACAATACTCTCACTATATATACACAATACTCTCACTATATATATATATATATATATATATATATATATATATATATATAACTCTCCCTATATATACACATGGTCTCTCTATCTACACACAATACTCTCACTATACAAATAAATACTCTGTATCTGTCAATCTATATCCATCTATCATCTATATGTATATACACATACACATATATATGTGTACATATGTATGTATGCATGTACATGTGTGTGTATATATATATATATATATATATATATATATAGAGAGAGAGAGAGAGAGAGAGAGAGAGAGAGAGAGAGTCTCTTGCTCCAGCTACCTTCAATCTCCCATGTGCCAGCACTACAGGCACGGTCCACCAAGCTTAGCTTGGTGGACATTTTTGCTTTCAAAATGAGAAGAACAGAAAGAAAAAGACTCCTCAGACCTAAGCATAAATGAACCAGAGCGGACTCTGGAGATCTTGTGCCGGAGCTAGCCCAGGCACCGTCGTGGTGTGAATGCTGGTGAGAAGTGGGGAGCACTCTGGGCTATCACTAGTGGAGAGCTGATGCTGGGATCCCTTGGGAATTCCGAGGCCTGTCGGGCGCTTGGGGCTGTCCCTGACATTTGAGGGCACCTCAGCAGTGGAGCGGCAAGTCGTCTTAGATGCCGGATCTGTCTTTTTATGGGACGCTGTCAGACACCAGCTCTTCAGATCCTGCCCATTCACAGAACACTCCCCAAAGGCTGCCTTCTCTTGCCTATGGTGTGCGCTGAGGTTTAGAGACTGTCAAGGACACTTGGCCAGACTCCTGCCTTCATCTCACTCTGCTGGACATTTGCAAACCCCGCATGATCCCGTAGCGGGGGCCTGCATGATGTCCAGTTGGCTGGAGTGGTTGTGCCGGGGTGGGAGAGCTAGCTAGTATCTGCTGCCGTGCTTCCGGGTGGGTTCAGCCCCCAACCTGGACCCACTGAAGGGGCTCAGCAGGTGGTGGAGCACGCAGGACCGGTGGAGCCCTAGGACTAGTCAGCTCTGGTCTACTCGCTAAGAGGGTTATTCTGGTACTAACGCGGTGCGGAGCCCTGTGCAGAACCCAACAGGGGATGAGTTGTGAGGCTCCGGTTTATCCAGTGCCTGGGAGCCAGGGGCGGGCTCTGCACGCAGGCGTTGTAAACTAGCGGGGCAGGCGCAGTGCGCACGGTGGCGGCGGCGGCGGCGACAGCAGGTGGGTTGCTGCGGGTCTAGCGGGACAGCAGCTGTGGGGATGCAAATGCAAGCGAAGGCTAGAATGTCTGGGGGCCAGGGGCACGGCGGAGGCAGCCAGCCCCAGCAGCCGCGGCTGGGGCTCATATGGCGAGGGGAGGTGCCCTACAGCTTCCACATCCGGGGCTCAGGGCCCTTGCAGCCCTAGCCTCCTGGCCTCAGGTGAGCTGATCCTCCAACCTGTTGGAAGGATGGGGTGGGGTGGTGGTGATCGCTTTTCTCTGAGTCCAGGCGTCCTCGTTGGCCACGCTCAGGGCTGCAGGAACTGCTCCTGTTCCGGGTCCTGCCATCCTGGCCCTGCTCCAAGGAAGCCTCCCATTCCTCCTTGCTCGTGGAACCTGTTCCACTCCTGGCTAATGTTCTTAAGCAACCTCCCACTCACCCTCAGAAGCACCTGCAGGGCTCGCAGGTCCGCTCCAGGTCTGCACCACCCTGCCATTTCCACTGCCTGAGGCTGACAGGAGGAACCTCCATGATGTCAATGCCTCCTGCCCACAGTCCCTGACACCACCCCGCCTACCCTACACACACATACTCTCATTTAAGCCTTCTAAGGTAGGTCCACGGTGCAGGTGTCCTGGGATCCTAGGGAGAGGCGAGAACTGGGTGGACAGCCTGGGAAAGAACGGAGGCTGGCTGGTTATTCCTGCTGTCTGTCCCCAGCAGTTTCCAGAAGCTGGCTCAGGACTCCTCAGCCGTCTGCCATGGCCCCGGGACTGCCCAGCACTGCCCGCCTGGCACGCTTCTGCCAGAAACTGAACCGTCTGAAGCCACTGGAAGAGTCTAGCATGGACACGTCACTGCGACGCTGCCTGTCCACACTGGACTTGACCCTGCTGGGTGTGGGTGGCATGGTGGGCTCTGGGCTCTATGTGCTCACAGGCACGGTGGCCAAGGACATGGCTGGCCCCGCCGTGCTCCTGTCCTTTTTGGTGGCTGCGGTAGCCTCCTTGCTGGCAGCCCTGTGCTATGCAGAATTTGGAGCCCGTGTGCCCCGCACTGGCTCTGCATACCTGTTCACCTACGTGTCCATGGGTGAAATATGGGCATTCCTCATAGGCTGGAATGTGCTCCTGGAGTACCTCATTGGAGGTGCTGCTGTGGCCCGTGCCTGGAGTGGCTATCTGGATGCCATCTTTAACCACAGCATTCGCAACTTCACAGAGTCTCACATGGGTGTCTGGCAGGTGCCCTTCCTGGCCCGTTATCCAGATTTTCTGGCCGCCGGCATTTTACTTGTGGCTTCTGCCTTTGTCTCCTGTGGAGCCCGAGTCTCCTCCTGGCTGAACCACACGTTCTCAGCCATCAGTATGATTGTCATCCTTTTCATCATCGTCCTGGGTTTCATCCTGGCCCGCCCTCACAACTGGAGCCCAGAAGAGGGTGGTTTTGCACCCTTCGGCTTCTCTGGCATCCTGGCAGGCACGGCCACCTGTTTCTATGCCTTTGTGGGTTTTGATGTCATTGCCGCCTCCAGTGAGGAGGCCAAAAACCCTCGGTGGGCTGTGCCCATGGCCATCGCCATCTCCCTTGGCCTGGCAGCTGGCGCCTACATCCTGGTCTCCACTGTGTTGACCCTCATGGTACCTTGGCACAGCCTGGACCCTGACTCGGCGCTCGCTGATGCCTTCTACAGGCGTGGCTACAGCTGGGCCGGCTTCATTGTGGCGGTTGGTTCTATCTGTGGTAAGGGACCCTCCTGGGCAGGGTGGGAGGGGACAGGGTAGTTAGTGGGCCTTGCCCCAAACCTCTCAAAATACTTCCGCCCAGGCCCCGGTGTTACCTACCTGTATAATGAGCTCACGAAAACACTGGTTTTCAGAGACTTGTTGGCAGACTCTCTCCCCACACGTTGTACACAGAATATCAGTTTGGGAGCACATGCTCACGGGTCCTTCCCAGTCAGACTGCCTAAAGGGGAATGCCCCATTCCTCGGTGGGAGGTGGGAGGCTAATACTCTCAATACACACTATCTGAGAGCCTGGTAGCAGCCCTGCTGGGCTCGTCTGCCATGCTGATAGCTGCCTATGCTCTGCTGCAGCCATGAATACGGTCCTGCTCAGCAACCTCTTCTCCCTGCCTCGCATTGTCTATGCCATGGCCGCCGACGGGCTCTTCTTCCAGGTGTTTGCCCGTGTGCACCCCCGGACACAGGTGCCTGTAGTAGGAATCCTGGTGTTTGGGGTCCTCATGTCTCTCCTGGCGCTGCTGATGGACCTGGAGGCGCTGGTCCAGTTCCTGTCCATCGGCACCCTGCTGGCCTATACCTTTGTAGCCACCAGCATCATTGTGCTGCGCTTCCAGAAAGCTTCTCCACCCAGCTCCCCGTGCCTCGCCAGCCCTGGTCCCACAACTAAGAAGTATGACTCCTTCTCGGACCACATACAGCTAGTGGGTGCTGAACAGACCTCCATGTCTGAGACTGGGCAGCTGCGACCAGCCCTGAAGCCTTTCCTGGGCTTCCTGAATGGATGCAGCCCTGGAACTGCTGTGGCCTGGGCGCTTGGCATCTTGGTAGCCTCAGCTATCTCCCTGGCATGTGTGCTGGTCTTCGGGAACTCAGACCTGCGCCTCCCACGGTGGGGCTACGTCCTGCTGCTGGCCGTCAGTGGTTCTGTCTTTCTGTTCAGCCTTCTGGTCCTGGGGGCTCACCAGCAGCAAAAGAAACAAGACACTTTTCAGGTACACCCCCACCCCATCCCCCGCCTTGTGCCTCGCCAACACTGTTCCTTCCCAGGCCAAACTGTCCCTTTCCCCCAGTCTCTCATGCTAACCGAGCCATTCAGAGGGGCTCATGGGGCTGGGGAGACAGGTTGATCCATTCCCACTTTCTCCAACATCCTGCATGGCGAGGGTACACCTGCCTCCAAACCTTCCGAGACAAAGAAGGCTTCTGTGGAACTTCCACACAGCCGGGCTCTGGCCTGGTGTATCTATCCTGCAGCCAAGCTCAGCCTCACCCTTGCACCCTCAGATCCCGTTGGTGCCCCTAACTCCAGCCCTCAGCATCCTTCTCAACATTTGCCTCATGCTGAAGCTGAGCTACCTGACGTGGCTGCGCTTTATCTTCTGGCTGCTGGTTGGTGAGTGGGGCCCGGGCTTGCACAGGCCCACCGTGGGAGGACAGGGAGGGCAGGTGGGGCTGGGACCTGCCCCTCAGGCTCACGCCCACTCCTGCAGGACTCATCGTGTATTTTGGCTACGGGATCTGGCACAGCAAGGAGAACCAGAGGGAGCCACTGGAGCTGACGACCGCACACTATGTGGTGTTCCCCAGTGGCAGCCTGGAGGAAACAGTGCGGGCTGTGCAGCCTGCTGGCCAGGCCCCAGGCCAGGAGGAGGCAGGCTGCACGGAGTAGCTGGCCAGCCTGTGAGGCTGCCTCAGAGAGGGCCCCCGCATCGTCCACATCGGAGGCCAGGATTGGCAGCTGTCTGCCCAAGGAAGCTTGGATTTGAAGCCTTCCCAGACTGGGCTGGGCGGGTTGTCAGTTCCCAGGAAGTGATAACGGGATAGGCCTTGGCCGGTGCTGGCATATACTCACTGCCCAGGGCTTTCCTGTTTATGATCCACTCTGGATGCCTGGGCAGGTGGAGCAGAGTGGGCAGGGAAGAGGCCCCAGCACCTGGGACCCATAATAATAACTAATCAGCGAGTGTTATAATCAGCTGTCGTGTACGCTGTGGCATTCTTTGTGGCACTGAGTTCTTACTTGCCTGAAGAACCAAACAATTGTCCCCAGTCCACAGCAGAGACACAGAGGTCTACGAGAAGTACATGCATAATGTGAAGAGGGGCTTGTGGGAAGACAGGGTCGGATTCCTCATATGTCCTCCATAAGGGTGTGCGTGCGTGCGTGCGTGCGTGCGTGCGTGCGTGCGTGCGTGCGTGCGTGCGTGCGTGTATGTATGTTAGTGGTGCTTGAGATGGAAGTTAAGACCTTGAGATTGTTAGGCAAGGATTCCACTAGTGACCTGTATCCCCAGATCCCTGACATGTCCTCTAGCAGGGTAACCTGGACTCAGAAAGCAACTGAAAAAGGCATTGGGTGTCAGCGTCTCTTGATTTTCCTGGGCTCCTGGGGATCAAAGCATGTGCCCAGGGACAGCCTAGGGACATTGAAATGCACTGAACACAGGTATACAGCCACAAGACACTCCCCCAGCACATTCTGCATGGCCCACACGGTTGCCCTTGGAGTGCACACTATGTACAGACTAAATTGATCACTGTTTCCACATCCGGGCTCCTAGCCACAGCTTACTCTTTTTTTTTTTTTTTTTTTTTTTTTTTTTTTTT